AAATTTAGCGAAGAAAGTCGGCAAGTAGGGAGAGTCAGGGCAAGAAGAAGGAGAGAAAATTATAGTGAAGAACGCCGGCAAGCAGAACGAGACAGAGCTGGAATGAATAGACAAAGGCAACACGAAAGAGAAATACAAAGGCAAAGAGAACGGCAGCAAAATAATGACATGATGACAGAAAGTGTTGTGTTGATGTAACTATGGCCCCGCGCTATTATTATAAAAATCTTGATTTCAAACTAATCTCGGACGCGAAAATTCAGCCAGTCATTTAAAAATACAAGCAGGGAAGACAGAGGCTTTTCACTTTTCCCACCGTAGTCTTGCGTTGATCACGCTCTACGACCGTCCAATTTTTATGCTCTGATTTGTGAAAATTAGACAGGTGAGTTCATACAGAAAATTTATACAGCATCTTGAAACTTGTTTATTTTGACAGCTGAAGCTGACAGAGTTTTTTGTCAACTTGTGATGTTTTTTACTGTGTGTCTTTAAAAATGAAACTTAAAGCAACCTGGTGTTATTTATCTGTGTTGAGCATAGTTATTAATAGTTACTACGCTGATGCATAAAATCAAAATACTGCGTTAGGTAACAGATGCATTGTGTCTTAGTTACGTTGCTCTAGAGTTCTGAAGTACATATCTGTTTCTGTGGGAGCTCGTTCGTTTCGCCTGTTTAGGCTACAAGGCTCTTTTTTGCAAATGATGAACTTTTCATAAAGACAAAGATTACATTTTTTGCTAATGTTGCTATAGGGTTTACATTTCTTGAAAACTTTCCATTTTATATATTTTGTGATTTCCGTCTCATTTCTTCTGTTCGAACGTCGAAAGAAGGACTCACTGATGATTTCTGTAACGTTCCTTAAAGTTTGTTGCCAGTCCGACGTAAGTTTCAGTCATCGTCGCTGTGGTTACAGTGGCTTGGTAGATTACATTTCATTGGAGGCATTGTCCTTCGAGTGAACAATGTATGCATGTATGTATGTGTGTATCTACTCATCCAAGATGGCCGCCCGTAACGCATAGCGCTCGATCTCGACGATCTTAGGGGAAAATAGGGGACTGTGAGCAGTCTACTCTCAGGGGGGGGGGGGGGG